GATTTGGATTTGGGTATGGGTATGGGTAGGGTTTATGTTTATGTTTATGTTTTGTTTTGTTTTGGGTTTTTGTTGATTTGGTTTGGTTTTTTTGCTGTTAATGTCGGTTAAGGGTAATCAGCGATATTAAACAAGCACTACAACGACATTATCATTATAATCGTCATTATCATTGGCATGATTATCAACATCATCAGCAATGCTACAACGTAACGTCATCAGCTAAGCAAATACAATTTTTGGTATTGCATTACAACAAAATTATTGTTCAGCTTTGTTTGTTGTGGGCGAGCGTGTTGGGATGGGAACTGCAACTCGAACTGGAGCCAGAGGTGCTTGCCTCTTGGCAGGGGTAGTGGGACGGTGCTTTGCCATTGTGCAAGCTTTTAGGTACTTAACTGCGGCTATTTGCTGTAACTGTTGCCGATTGTTGTTCACTCTGTGTGGAGGTGTGAGAAATTTGATAGTTTTTCTGGGGTCTTTAGTTACAAGCCTGCACTTTTCAAGTGAATGATTTTGGAAACAGATGTTTTGTTGAATAATGGTGCAAGACACAGGACAACAGATGCACCTAGCTTTGACGGCTCTATAAAGTCACTCTCATCTGTGAGATTGACACATGCAGATGCTTTTTTTTAAAACTATGCTCAGTTGAGCAATTAAGTTATTGGAGAACTGAATGGAAAAGCTCTTACCTAAATAAAATTATAGATATTTGAAGATCTACAGGAGCTTAGATACTTTGACTATTAATGTAATTGGTATAGAACAGTATAGGATAATATTATAGACTCGCAACCTAGCTTTTATTTAAAATTAACTGATTCATAAGATCTCGCATAAGAGTTTCACCCTCGCTTTTCCTTACACTTAACCAACATCCAAGCAATAAATAGAAAGGTGACTATATCATAGTTTTGTTTCCCTATGTATATATCCCAATATATATATATATATATATATATATATATATATATAAATTTATATAGTTATTTTTTATAAACATATATATTTAACGTTCTCTTTTCGTGGTAGAGATAAAACTCTCGATAAAGTTTCGTCAGCGTCTCTTAATACAAAGCTATGCACGGTAATTCGGCAAAAGTTGTGTAGTTGCTGTTGCGATTGTTTGTTGTTATAGTTGTTATTGTTGTTGCTGGGCTAATTCGTTTGTCTTACGTTTGTTTATGATAGCAGCCCGCATGCGGCCGCTGGGGGCAGGGAACTAGGGCCGAGTCCGGCGCCGTAGCACGCAGCCAAATACAAAAGTAATAAGAAAATTAATGTAGCTACGTGCAGCAATTTAGGCGCCACAAAGCCGAACTGCAGATCTCCACACACACACACACACACACACACACACACACACACACACACAAGTACACAAACGCACACATAAAACAAACAAAAACGCACATACAAACAGAAACCATTAGCTTAGATAAGCTAATAAGAGAAACGTGCGTTGAGCCACAATACTGTCAGTTCATATGAACTAGTTCCAGATCACGAGCATTAGTTGCTTTTGAAGAGTCGATGACGATGCGTCTGCGGCTGTTATCACTGCAGTTTCTCAAGTGTTTGGGGCTTGGGGCTTTGCGCTTGTGATCGCTCGCTGTCCGGCTCTTTGGCTACTGTGCACGCTGATTCCAAAAGTCGACATGGCCGGGTGCATAAATTGCTTTATGGCCGTTTGCTGGGCGCGCTTTATGGCCATTACTCAAGTGCTCAAGACTTCGCTATACACTTGCAGCTCACAGAGCGCCCTCCTCTGCGCTGACGTCCTCTTTCTCCGCCACTGCGCACAGGTTTATGGCCAGCACAATGCCAGGGCTATAAACGCGGGCGGACCCGGACGAGCAGCTCCTAGCTATTGGCATAATAAAAACGTAGCAAAAACAAATGCTGCTCCACCAACACACAGACACACATACAAATATGCACAACATTTGAGGCGTTTTATAGACTTGAGCTCTTTTGTGGATTGCGTTTCGATTTTTATTTCGGTTTTTAGTGGCTCAAATTTCTATAAATTTATCATGTGAGAAATTAAAAGCAGTTCTGATTGAATCATAATTCCAAGTATATATTGGTGTGTGTATATACGCATGTATATTAGGTTTTACTTTGGCTTTTATGACATGATTCTTGCTGCTTTTGGTTGATAGCACGTGGCCAGGTTGATGAAATGAATTTGATTTGAAAATACCATACAATTTATGGCACCCACGCGAGGGTCCGATCTTGCTACAGCGTTTGTGTATCTTTCCAAAAACAAAACAAAAAACCCCACCGGAACCCGAACCGAAACCCAAACCCCACCATTCAGGTACATTGTGGTGTGCCTGTGGCTGTAGCTGTAGCTGTCGGTTGTATAATTGCATTTATGGGGGCATCATAAAAACGCTTGAAGAGCAGTATCTAAACAGTAGTGATTTTATTTTGTCGCCGTTGCTTGCGAAATTTATGAGCTGCCCATGTGAAACTGATTAGAATGTGTGTTGGGCACAAGTCAAGAACTCGGACAGCCCATGGGCGACATGACACGCAATTTTCTATTTTATTTTTAAAGTGCGTATGTGAGAGTGTGTGTGTGTTGGGTGTTGGGGTGTTCGGGTGTGTGTATGGCATTTTGGGGTTTCCGCATTGGACACTACTTGGAAATTGAAAATACGCTTCTTTGCGTTGGCTATAAATATGAAATTGTCAGCTGCAGACGCCCACGCGGCGGCGGTGACAAAATGTTCTCGACTGGGCGCAGTGTATAGAATTTTCCTTTTGCTTTTGCTTTTCATTTCAAATTTCATTTTGATTTTCATTTCATGTTGATGTTATTTTCACGCCCGCTGCTGACTCGCTGTCTCGGCTTATTTATAGACTTGTCTCATGCTGTGTATTCGCTTGTTGCCAATGATTTATACATTTTTAAAAACCGCATCGCAGACAACAGCATTTCATTGCCCATTGGGCCAGCGCTTATCAGTGGGCTTGGGCTTCGGCTTGGGCTTGTAATTACCACTGAGAGTAGCTGAGAGCCTCTCGGAGGAGATCTGCTGGCAGCCATTTTGATTTAGCTGAGACTGAGTCGGAGCCGGAGAAGTGCGTGTGTGCAATATGCCAGTTCCCCAGTTCCCCGATGTCTCCCCTACATAAAGAAACCGGCGACCCTCGTGCTTTTCATATCAGCTAAAGCAAAAGCGCGACCTGGTCGCAAGTCAGCCATCCAAACGGAGAGTTATCATGCAAACCAGTTTGACAACTTCCACACGTACCTAAATATATATTTGTGCGTGTGTGTGTGTGTGTGTGAGTGCTTTTGTGCTCGTGCATGTGTGTGTGTGCAACGCCAGCGACCAACCAGCATTTGAAAATGCAACATTAAAGCCAACTGGCAACAACTTTGGCACAACTCTCCACACGCAACTTTTGCTACGTTTTCATACTCTCCTCAATGGCTGTGGCTTCTATCAGTTGTTGTTGTTGCAGTTGTAATTGTTGTTCTGTTCGCCTCACAATGGGGCGTTTTTCTCATGTTTCATTGTTGCCTGGTACCCACATATCTGCAGATGTCTGGCCAACGAGTCCGACTTGGACTTGAACTCCTTACCGATCCGATCTGCCGCTTGATGTGCGAGTGCGCAACATAATTATTAGTCGTCTATGCCTCGGTTGATCCAAATTGCCGTTACGATACTCAATTATGGTCCAGTATGGCGTGTCTTGGAGAGAGATTTGCCAGCTGAAAGACGCCGCATGTGTGGATATATGGAGTTTAAGGCTCGCTTGGAATTGCTTTCTATGTATTTCATGGATACCGAATTAAAGTAGGTAAACAGCTTGGACTACTTAGATAATATAGATAGTTTCATAATCAGTTTAAATCTAGTAAATGATTTTGGGCCTCTTTAAATGTGAACTTTGTCTAGAGTTCGCAGTTCAAAGACATAACAGTTATCTTTTACAGATAATTTCAGTTTTTTTTTATCTATGCGTCTGCCTTCAAATCTAATATCTGATCTCTGTCTCTGAAGGACCCCATGCAGTGCAGCCTTGCATAGTTTTGTTAACTGGGTGGTCTATTGCGAAGCCAAAAGCAGAATTAGAGAAAAATGAACGCAAGTACAAGGTCGACTCAAGATCTGCGACGGTATAAAATTTCGCAGCGGGTGTAGCTCTTTTTTATGTGCTTGCTGTTTATCTATATATCTATTGAAGAACAACCCGAGCTGGTCTCACAGATCTCACATGGGGCAAGCCATGTTGTTCCGTGAGAGCCAACAAAGCGCTATCAACCGAACAGCAATCTTCACTAATAGCAACAGCAACAGCAACAGCAACAATAATAAAATCAACAAATAATTCGCAGCATTTATTTGACCTTCTGTCGCATTTTGGTCGGTCGCGGTCTGTGTGGCCATTTTTTTTATCTAGCCACATATTGCTTTTGTGATTTTTATCTAAGTGTGTGGTTTATTTCTGTTGCCTTTTGCAATAAAAATAAAAAAACGAGAATCGCTTTTATGGTCACAGCGAGTCATCGAGTCACCTCTGCTCTGATGAGCAACAACAGCAACAGCAAATTTTACGCAAATGTTGCGTTTCCCATGCTGGGTTTTGGTAACCATCTATTTGCTGTTGTTGTTTCGGCTGTTGTTGTTGTTGTTGTTGCTGTTGCTGCCGCCTGGTTTATATTTGCTTGCTGAGCGCTTATCGCTTGGACTGTGAGCTGGCATCATAAAACTGCGGCGACACAGGCAACGGACAACGGACAACAGAAAACATTGGCGACCTAGTCACGGAGTGGCTCGGAGCTGCAGTTACCACCTGCCTGCGTTCGTCAAGATTCCGCACAGCAGCAGCAACATACAGCAGCAACATACAGACCAGCAGCAACAGCTGCCACTGCTTATGCATATTTGCAACGATTTGAAACTAGTATACAAAGTGTTTCTCTTTTATACTCATTCCCTCTCTTTCTCCCTCTTTGTCTCTCATTTCAGATAAGATCACAGAAACCCTACTATACCGCAGATCCCGAAGTGGATTCACTGGTAAGTAAACAAAACGGCGCCCGGCAACTATGTTGCAGCAACAAGCCAAAAGATCACGGCCTAGCCAAGTGTGTGTATGTGTGTGTATGGGCGAACGTGTGTTTGTGTGTGTGTGTGTTTGTCCGTGCGATCACCTTGACCCAAAACAATGACAACAATTGAATAATTTTCTTTTATTTAGAATAAATCACAGCAAATTTAGCAGCAGCCAAAGCAATTTATGAGCATTTGTTTGTTCACTTGCAGCGAGCAACAACGTCCAAGTCCAAGTCCGCATCGACATCCATAGCGTCATCGCTGTCATTCACTGGCGGCGGACTAAGTTGTTTAGTCATTTTGTTGGACAGCGTTGCCATACTTTTCTCTGACACGCATTTTGATTTCTGCATGTTGCTGTTGCTGCAGCTGCGGCTGCTACTGCAGCCCTCGCTTCAGGATGGGGTCGGGAATCGAAATGTGCTGAGGCTGGGCAAGGGGAGACAAGCAACGACCAACGACCGATGCTCGACGTCGACTACAATATGAAGCAGAACGATTTAATGATGCATATGACATTTTTGCACTCTCTAAATGGGCAGCCTTTGGGTGTGCAAAAGACGTCGGCAACAACAGCAACAGCACAGCAACAAAAGCAACAACAATAAAGTCGTCGTCGTGCTCGTGGGTTAGTTAAATGCATTCAGATCTGGGCAGTCAGAGTCAGAGCCCCAGCGCAAAGGCAAATGCCATCAAGGCAACCTTGACGGCGATCATGGCGTGATGTTGTTGTTGCTAGCTACAATGATGATCATGGTGATCAGCTGTCGTTGTAGGGCAACAAGTGCATAAAAGTCTGTGAATTGTGCCAATCTTTATTAATGATCAATCAGATCATATCTAATGCAAACAAAAAAAAAAAATGCATGTGTTGGCCTAGCCAACTGAAATATATTTTATAACTGAGCTCAACATGCATCTGCATTTCTTGGCGCATAGCAACACATGAGTCAGAATGTCGCTACAGCCTCTCAGTTTGAGTCCAGCGAATTTCCAGGCAATTTTGGAACCCATGTAAACCAAGACGGAAATGCTGCGTGCAAAAAATGCAAAACGAGCCATGCAATTGGGCTGCGCAAATCGCGTCAACAGTTGCTGCTGCTGCTGTTGCTGCTGCATATAAAGAGATTAAGGGGCAAAACTAATTTTAATTGCGGCTGCGTTCGTACCACTCGACAGCGGCCTCTGCTTAGTCGTAAATGTGTCACTCACTCACGTTGAGCAACAGAGATGCTGATGCTGCTGCTGTTGCTGTTGCGTTTAATGTCGCTGGTTTTATGGCGTATTAGTCGCCAGCAACAGCAACAGCAGCAGCAACAGCATCAGCAGCCGCAGCAGAGAAATCTCTGGCGGTGGCCCTAATTTTATGCACTTGCAGATTAGTTTATTAGTTGTAGTACAAACTCACTGAATGCCAGTCCGGGCCCAACATGCAGCAACAGGCAATACACACAGACACATACAGCTGGCACCCGGACCTCGGTTTGAGTATCTTGGTCTACACTGATCGGCTATGGCTATGGCTCTGGCCGTGGCCGTGTGCGCCTGCGTACTTTGGCCATAAATCATTTTGGCATGCCACCACTCTGCGGTGCTGCTGCTGCTGGTGGTGGACTGAGTAACCACCGCTTCTCCTCCCAGCACCACAGAGTTCATGTTTGAACATTTAAAAGTGCATTTAGTAACACTTACTTAAAAAAACTCTTGGCGGTTTTGTGCTTTAGATATTTACGCACACACGCATGCACACACAAACACTCTTATATGGATGTGCTATAAAAATGTTTATAGCATGTTTTCTCTATGTTATTATTTTACTATGCGGTTCAGTTGGCCGCGGCTTGGCATTAAATGAAATTCTTTAAAGTTTTTTGCCGGCACCAGCTGCTGCAACAACAAAAGCTGCAGCAGCAGCAGCAGCAACAGTGGCGGCAACAGCAGCGGCCACACCAGTTAGCAGCCTCGTAAAAATGTCAAATGTCAAACTGACGTTTTAATTAGCATCTGGTCACCCTAACAGTTGGCGCTCTTGCGATTCATGTGTGTGTGTGTGTGTGTGTGTGTGAGTGTGGACTATGGTGTGTATGGTTCTGGGGCGTCAAACGATTTGTTTGGAGGCATGTTTTACGGCTAAGAATTTTATTATCATTTGTGATATGCATAACTCATGTTTGTTCTCTCTTTCTCGCCCCTCTCTTTGCAGATGGTGCAAGCAATACAAGTGCTTCGGTTTCACCTTTTAGAGTTAGAAAAAGTAAGTAAACATGAATATACCTACAAATTACATAAGTCTAAATTAAGTATTTAATTTTATTTTTTTTAATTGGTTTGTCTTTAAGGTAAATTGCAATACGTTTTCAAACATAGATGAAGTATTTATTTTGCAAAGCAGAATTGGGGTATTTAACATTGAATATAAAATTGATACTTTAAGGCGGCGCAGATTTCTCTGTGGTCAAATTGACTGTAGGGCTTATACAAATTGTTAACTGAACTTCAATAATCTGTGCCACTTTTATTGCTCACTCCTTGGCCACTCTTCTGGCTGCATATCATCAACTCAGAGCTGAAAACTCAGCAGTCATGCAATTAACTGCTAGCCAAGCTACAAACATTTATCACTAGCTAGCTACCCAGCGACCACCCATAAGACCCATAAATCAATTGCAAAAAAATTAAGTCCGAGTGCTATAGACAATACTGGTACATACCCTGCAGTAAAAGATAGGTCATAAAATGTAGCCATGATGACTACTCATGGTCATCTCAGTCTCATATAGACACTGAGATCGACATGGTTATAGGCTTATAGATAGATATACGGAAGGACGAGTTGAATATATTTAATGAATGTAACGTAGACTTTGAAAATGTATCGAATACATATATGCTGAGCTTAGGTATACCCATTTTCAAGTTTATTTTGTTTAGAGGGTATGGCATAAACAAAGTTACCAAACGGCGGGTATTTCAATTGCCAACATTTGTGTTGACATTTTATTGAGCTTGTAGGCAGGCTCCAATTGGAGACAGAAACATATACATACACAAACACACACAGGCACAGGCATACACAGCAGGCGGTCATATCTCTCTTGCAAATGTCTAAATTAAAGCACAACAGCAGCAGCAACAGCATTGACAACGACTGCAATAACTGTGAAGCTGGCCGGGCAGCTGGCCGTGGCCAAAACTGCATTAATTGCCAATCATGAAAGCCGCTTGCATAGCTTTAGATAGAGATAAGTACAGAAATATGCCGACCAACAGGATGTGACATAGCATTAACAAAACAAGATAGGAGCGAGCGGGGGACAAATATTTGCTGACCTGGCGGGGTTGCGAGCAGACGCTAAGGGCAGGTGTTTGCCCAAGATACTAACCACAACAATAGCAGCTTGGTGGGGCGGATGGTGCTCAAAAGCCCACGATATTTGCATTGAGCAACGCACAATGAAACGCATTCATTTTCGGCGCTGCTTTGTTGTTAATTCATGAGGTGTGGATGCCCCCATCCCTCTAATTCGCTCTTTGTCTGTCTGAACAACCCTAGACGCGCATAAATAATTTTGGGAATGCAGCAACTAGCAACACCTACTTTATTATTGGACACTTTATAATCTAAATGGAAAAATTACAGGTTGCCTAATTTGTTTTAATTTCAAATAATATGCAAGGGCTTGACTAGCTTGGGTGCGTGTGTGTGCGGCGGCTGTCTTAATGGAAGTTGTTCCTCAACGTGGTCGTAATTAATGCCTGCGCCCTGCCTCCACCACTTGTTCACTGTCCACTGCTGTTGTTGTTGCTGCTGCTGTGCCAAGAAAATTAATTAGGCAAATGCGCAGCGAAGCGTGGAGCGTCGACCGTTGGGCCGGGAACCAAAACCGAAACTGAAACCGAAGCTGAAGTTCAAACTGAAGCCCAAAACGAAGCTGAGCCGGGCTTTGAGCTAAGCCAGTCATCTGTTTTTTTTTTTTTTTTGTTTGTTTTTTGTGTTTTTCAATTAAGTCTTAAGTAAGAAATTATGCAAAACATTATAAAAACAACAATCAGAACGCATCGCAAACGTTATAAGAATACGAAGCTGAGCCATTTGGGCAGCTGTCGGGTCTCGAGACATGTTGTGTAGGCCCCCAGAAGTCATTTACAGTTGTGTTCGGATTGCGACTGGAACTGGGACTAATGACAAAATGCCAACAATGACAAATACGAACAACAAAAGTCAATCAATGTGCAATTAGCGTTGGCCAATCTTAATTACCAACTGCATAAAGCGCTTTCTATTGAAAGTAGTGCAGTAAGTCAAGTCAGTCTGTCAGTCAGTCAGTCAGTTGGCTGATCATTCTCAGTCAGTCATTCAGTCAGTCAGCCAGCTGCAATTTGTTGCAAGTGGCACCCTGTATTACAAACAGAGGAGTAGTGAAGCGAACGAGATCTTTATCATCATCACACAGCACAGAGCACACAGCCCACGACAGGTTTTTGTTTTGTCATTTGTCACTCACACAGCTTGCGACACACACGAACCACGACAAACCAACAATCGGCAACGGCAACAACCAACAATCGGCACAAAGAACTGTAGCAACTTGTACAACAACAACAGCAACAACAACAGCAACAACAACAGCAGCAGCAGCAGCAACAAAAGTACAATTCATTTATATGCAGCCAACAAAATGCAGCGGGCGATTTTGGTGTATAAAATAAATAAAAATACAAAAAGAAAAAATAAATATATAATACTTAAATAAAATGTGCGGGCTGACTGGCAAAAAGCGTCTATATATATTTATATATATATATATATACATATATATATATACATACATTTATTGTATATATTGTATCTGTATCTGTGCATATTTGTTGCTGCTGCTAAAAACAACACACAGAATCAGTTAAAAAGACGCTTCAAGACTTGTGTCTGTCAAAACTGGTTTGCCAGCCCCATTTGCCCAGTCCTCAGTTCCCATCCAGCACGGACAATTCTCGTCACAGAGTCACATGCAAAAAAAAAAAAAAGCTGAACACAAAAAAACAAAAACACTCAACGACGACGGCGCATTGCAATTGACAAACGGGCAGTGGGACAGTGCCTCAGCAGACCGACAGACCGACCGACCGACGGACCGATGGACAGACAGACAGACACACAACACACGTCGGGTCAGTTGCACACAAACCCTGGCTGGGGGTAAGCAGTCACAGCTTGGCGGCCGTACCGGTACCGGCACCGGCATGGGGGCACTACAACTACTACAACTACGTCCAATACCACTACGTATGCGCAGCACAACACCGAATTGGGGGCCTTGTTTTGATGGCTCGGCCAGTTTGGTGCTACAACACCAAACGACAACCAACAGCTGAATTTTATTTTTCGGCTAAGCGAAATATATGGCTAGCTGGACTCGAGATTTGAATAGGGAGGAAAGAAATATGTGTGGGTTTCATATTTTTTTTTTTTGGTATTTACACTTATCTTATTAACACTTAAAGTATTTCCAATCGAAAATGTTTTGTTTGAACGCAAAGTAAGAAATAATATAAAAATGGCATAAATTAATACATATTACGGTGTAATTTCAAATTTAAATACTTTACTAAAGTGTTTTTGCACTCTAGCGATTATATTGAAACTGCGCTTTAAAGCTCGTCCGTTAACGTGACTATTGTCCAACACTCTCAAAGCAGCATTTCTTTATCCTTCTGAAATTCTCAGCTTTTTCGGTTTGTTTCCCATTGCAGCGTTTGCATTAGCATTTGTTAACATTATTTTTGGCATTCGTTTTCGCAATTACATTTTGTTGCGTATCCGTAAACGTTTCTGTTTGCCCATTCGTTTTCGCAATTACATTTTGTTGCGTATCCGTAAACGTTTCTGTTTGCCCATGCTCGCAGCGCATTCACAGTTCGCCACATTTACATTTCAAAGCCGAATAACATTTCTATCTATTTTTTTTTTTCCCTGAATTAAAATATTTACTTTTGCCAACAGTTTAGATTCAGTTTGTACTGTTTGTCGGCTGCCGGTGCTGTTATTGTTGTTGTTGTGGGTTTTTTAATTACATTTCATTTAAATGTCAGCAGTGTTGTACATTTTTTGCCGCACGCTTGTTAAACAAAATGCAAAAATTAAAAGAAAAAAACTTGTTGCTCGACTGGGACAGAGACTGCGACTGGGGCTGGGGCTGGAACTGAGACTGGAGGCTGTGTCAGTTGGTCGGTTTCGTGTGAATCTCAGTCGGAGCTGGTCTAGTCGTCATCTCTCTATAGAACATTTAACGCTATCTATGAACGGAAATCGAAAATTACCACTGCGCAGATTGGAGCGATTTACATTAGATTAAAGAGAAACGAATGTAGGCAAAGTGCAATAGTGCAATAAGACAGTTGGCCAGGGCAGGGGTAAACAAAACTATGTGCCCGGACACATTGCGATCGTATCGCTGGTAGAGGAAGCTGTAAAATGTGGCGAGGACGGGACTGTGAAAAGTTTTGCTTAACAGGATGTACAAATGACTGTAACATTTACAACGCTTACAACAAGCAACGCCCCCTGTGCTGGCACCACTTTAGCTGCTGCTGTTGCTGCTGCTGTGGGTCCCAGTCGTGAGTTGCTGCTGTGCCCACCCAATGCGCAGCAGCAACAGCCAGTCACAGCAGCAGCCAGCAATCATAAATATCGCAATGAGCTGTTTAAATGTCACACACAACGCTGACAAATTAATCAAAAATTATCAGCGTCCAAGCATCGCAGCAGCAGCAGCAGCAGCAAGCTGCAGCAGCAACATGCCACAAAGGGCCACGTCCCGGCCCGGACCGAGACAGGCAACTGAGCATAAAGCCGCATAAACATATCAATTTAGTAAGTATTTATGCCTTGTTGCTGTGTTTTGTTGTGCGGTGCTGCTGTTCTTGTTACATGCAGGCGACTGCAACTGCGCGCTGGCAACATGTTGCTGGCGTGCTAATTGCGCGCTTTATGTGCATTGTTATGGCAACTTTGACAGCTATACATATACGACAACATGTTGCTGCTGCTGCTGCTGCTGTTTCTGCTGCTGTTATCAGCGAGTCGCAACGACTAATTTGAGTCCTGTCATAAACCAGTTGATGCTGCCAGTTTTTATCAACGTCATATTTTTGGTGACAATAACATTGAACACAGGCAACAGCAACTTCCACATCGGCGGCATCAGCAGCAACAGCAGCAGCAACAACAGCAGCCTGTAAACGAGTTTGGCAAGTTTTGGCAATGGGCAACAAGTTAATAGCCAGCAAGCCAGCCCGCCCGCCAGCAACTGTTGCAGCTTTCGTATGCCAAAAAAAAGCAACGAGAGCCGCAGCAGCAGCCGTTGCAAGAACACAGCAACAAGCAATTTGCATAAGCAACGCGCACTTTTTCGTAAATTAAATGCCTGCCCGTTTAAATGGAGCACCCTGTTGGTTGTTGCAGTTACTGCTGCTGTTGGGCTGTTGGTTGTTGTTGTTGTTGTTGTTGGTGCTGTTGTTGCTGCTGCTCTGGCTGCTCGAGCCCAGCGCAATTAATTTCTTTTTAGCCGTGTCGGCGGCTGCATTCCTCTTTGGTGCGCAGCCTTTTTGCATATTTGCATATGCGCTCCGCCTGACTCACACTCACTTTGGCCTTATCGCATTTGTTTAATCATACACACACTCACGCATACACTGGTCTGAGTTTTTGGATCTAGCCAACACAACAACAACAGCAGGGCTTTAAAAACGCATTTTGTTGGCCCGTTTGCTGCTGCTGTTGCTGGTGACGCCAGCGATCGTCTGTATGCTGCACGTGCTGCTTGTTGTTGTTGTTGTTGTTGTTGCTTGCTTAAAAGTGTGCCCTGCGGCTAAACTTGGCTGGCCAGCACTTCCTTTCCGACCAACGCTTTTGGCCAGCCAGCTCTCTATGCATATTTATGTGGCCGGCCTCGCATTTTTATCGCCTGCAAGCGCGTACACCTTCTAAGCTTAGCGGTTGCTGTTGCTGTTGCCATTGCTGTTGCTGTTGCCGTTGCTGTTGCTGACGTTGTCTACGCCATTTTTGAGTGCCATCATCAACCATTTGCGTGGCCCGGGTCCAGAGCCAGGCCATGGATAACGCATAAAAAGCAATTTGCATGCCATTTGCAGCGGGAGCAAAGCAGGTTTTTTCTTTTTTGTTGTTGCTGTCGTTGTTGCTGTTATTGTCAGTTGTGTTGTTGCCTTGCTGTTAGCATAAAGAATGCAATGGCGCTAAGTGTTAGCAGCTGTCTCTGTCTGTCAAGTTGAATGTCTTATAAACTAACAGAATGCCTAATGAAGTCCCGAATGCAGAATATGATTTAGGCGAAAACGTATTGCAATGCCTGATTAGATTATTTAGCATATTTTTTGCGTAAGTTATAGGGATAAAAGGCTGTAGATACTAACACCTCTGATACTATCGATAGAATATGTGAACTTGCCGAACCGACAAGAATTAATTGATAAATTATATACATGCTATCGATAGTTCTATAACTTTTTTTTACCCCTATTGTATTTATAAATATGAGTAAGAAGAAAAATTTTTACATGACTATAATTTTGTTTTTAGTTTAGTATAATATAAATACTTAAGCTATATACATATATTTATATATTTGCACTTACGTATAATTGTATAATTGTCATGGCGTCGCTCTTCTCACACAACATTCTCTCTCTTTCTCTTTTATCTCGCCGCCCCAATTATGGCAATTTGCGGGTTTCTCTTTGCAGGTGCATGAACTATGCGATAATTTCTGTCATCGATATATCTCATGTTTAAAGGGTAAAATGCCAATAGATTTAGTGATTGACGAACGGGACACCACCAAACCACCAGAATTAGGTTCAGCAAATGGTGAAGGAAGAAGTAATGCCGATTCAACATCGCACACCGATGGAGCTAGTACACCAGACGTTGTGAGTACCCCCTTCGCGGGAGCACATGGTCCTATATTGGCGAGCTACAATGCGGTGGTGCACCCATGTTCGTAGTACGATAACGACCTTCTTGCAAAAACGAAGCGGGTGCTCACAATGCCCTGGGATTAAATGAATCAATAATAATAACCAAAAATAAGAATGTTGCGAAACTGCATAAGAAATTAAGTAAAATTAATTAATTTTGCAAAACTACAACAAAACATGATGCAAAACAATAATCTCAATGATTATTTGAAGATCACAATAACAATAATAATAATATTGATGAATAAAATCCAATCAAAAAACGCAGAAGAAGTTGTACGTAATTATGAACAAGAACAAGAACACACACACATTGTAAATTAGTCAAGAGAATTAAAAAATACAGTACAAGAGAGCAAATAATAAATGAGAAAGAAATACGCAAATTTCTAACGAGCGCAATTGCAGCAGCAAAAAGCAAAAAGCAATAAGCAACAACATCAACAACAACAATAATAGCAATAGCAATAATAGCAACTAGCAACAACAGCAATGGCCACGTATAAACAACAACAACTGCAAGGACTCAATGCCAGCGGCCAAACGACGATGACAACGACGACAACGACAACGACAAGAACAACAACAACAATACGTTGACAACAACAACAACACCAACAACAACAACTACAAACGAGCTTCCAAGCGGCCGCGAGGCGATTGAGGCGCCCAAATTCCAGGGTCCGACCAACCAAACTTCGACAGCTGTTGCTGCTGCTGCTGCTGCTGCTGCTGCTGTTGTTGCTGCTGTGCGCTGCTGTTGGGTACTGCAAGTGCATCTGCTGCTGCTGATGCTGCTGCTACTGATGCTGATGCTGATGCTGATGCTTTGGCCGTTAGAATTTGTCTGTTTTTGTACAGTAAAATGAGAGCCATAAATTTAAGTTAAAAACAAAAAAAAAACAAAGTAATGCAAAACATAAGTCATGTTATTTATTTTTGTGCTCTCTTTGTGGAGACAAAAATAGAATACATTCAACTTGTAAATTACTTAAAAAAGAAGATACAGCAACTGAGCAACAATAATTAGCGCAAAAAATTTGCTTAATTTGTAAAAAGTACCAACAACTAAAGAAAACTATGCAAAAGAGAAAAAATAAGTAAAAGTTCCAGTACTTCGTTTTTGCAAGAGGCCCATATAGCTCGCCAATATATTATTAATTATTATTAAAAACATTTAACAACTTTTTATTATTTTCACTACCTAATAACACAAAAATTTAAAATTGAACAAAAAAAAAAAAACAAAAAACAAAATATTATATTACAAGAAAGTTTACTAACCCAAAACTAACCAATTTTAACAATTTACATATGCACATAACTCTATATAGAAACTATATACATAAATATTATATATTATATATTAATATGATATGAAAGATAGTCTAATATGCATGGCCCTGACTCTGCAGGGGCATCGTTTTGCCCGCGTACAGTCAGTCGGCAGCTGCAAACTGCGTCGATAACTTCCGATAGACGATCGACGTTATCGTTTTGAGTTTGTAAACTTGTAAATATTGCCAACAAGCCCCTCCACAAACCAAACACAGACATAGTTACAGTAACAGAAGCACACAATATTATCTCTTGAACTATTATATCTAAAGACCATTTCTCTATATTACAACTCTGGTGCCAATTTTCTTTTTGGAACTTAAACACAGCCCCACACCCAAGACTTTGCGCCGCTGGAAGAAACCTATGCCAGTTATCGCATCAAGCACGAAGCGGACTTTTAATTCGCTGTGTGTGTGTGCATGTGAGAGTTCGCGCGTGTGTGTGCGTGTATGTGTGTTTGGGTGGGTATCGCAGCAGAAAAGCATACATTTATCTACAAGCAAAGTTCTTTAAAAATAAACTATAATAAAATATAACTTTAGCATGTAGTTCTACGAAAGCCTAGGCTGCTTACAAGTTAAAAACAAAAAACAAAATAACAAAAAAAAAATTAACGCTTAAAGAAAAGTGTATTCCCTTTTTGTTTGGCTTTTTAATATTATTTACTTCAGCAACGTGTATACGATTTTTCAATACGTCCTTTTTCAACGTGTTTTACAACACTGAAAGAACTTGCCAAAAAAAAAAGAACAAATATAAACAAATTTATAATCTTTTTTTGTTAGACTTTCACTTTTTTTTTATTTTCTTTTATAAATCTTATTTCAATGCGTTCTTGAAGAGAATGGAGAACCAAGTGCAACTCATATACGTAAATAAGAAGATAAATAAAAGAAAAATCAACCTGAGTTCAAATGCAAAGTATACGAATAAAACATAAAGTAAAACATATGTTTTTCTATTATTGTTTAAAAAAAAGGAAGGACAAAAAGAAAAAAAAAAACAGATTAAAGTTAATTTAATTAATTGAGAGTTGAAACGCGCATATACGATGACATTTTAAATGAGCTAGAATCCGTGCGAAAACTTAATATACGTAATAAACGGGATACTGTTTAGGTTATAATTCAAGATCAGCAGAAACAAAAAAAAAACTTTAAGCATTTATTAAGCAAAATTTTTAACAATACAAGTAAATACGTAAAATGCTAAACGCGATACTATTATTAAAAATACATGTAATTAATAACTATCAACAATTATAAATATGTCAGTACGTATCTACGTATGTAGAGCAGCGCAGCTTTTGGTGCTCAAAAAACAGCAGTTAAGAGATGGAATAAGATAATCCCATTGTACTATCCCAATCATACTTACAACTAGACTAGGCCTACCCCAAACCCAAACCCAAACCCAAGCCCAAATCAACTTCAGCTGCAACTGCAACTAGATGCGGTTGGCCGCCCCACTCCCAACCCTTTCAACTCTATGTATACTATAGCGGTCTAACTTAATGTACGTTATATAGTTCTTAGTATCCGTAACGGAAGGCTACGTATTATTAGGTATGCTAAGCTAAACTAAAACTAATCCTAAACTCCCTTAACTAATTTCCGAAGAACTCTTCCCAGCTGTAGGCACTTTCTCTATCGCTATATTCTCCTACCTTTTGAGTTTACGCATACTAAAAAGAATTATATTAACAATAAACTACCAAACATTGTACTTAATGGAACTGTACTCGGTTGCAGTCCAGCTATATGGGCAGTCATTTGTATACTTAAACTTTACAAGTAGACTATAAACCAACTGGTTTATTAGTGAAAAAAAAACTACAAACTAATAAAACTGAGAATATGTCAAAGCTTTTGTACTATTTTTTCAACTTAAGAATAAACAAAACACATAAAAATCTTGCAAATAGTTATATTTGCAAAACAAAAAAAAAAAAAAAAAACATTATATTAAAAAATAAATTAATAAATAGTTGTTGTACTTTGTCTCATGAAAATGGAAAGAAAAAACTTCAAAACAACAAAAACCATACGAAATGAATTAATGCTGTAATTATAATATAAATAATTTTAGCATAAATCTGTGGCCAAGCGATCTTAGTTGCTTTTTAGTTAAAAAAAAACTAAAACCTTAAAAAAAATATCTAAATAAAAAAATATATACTACAAATATATATATATATATATATATATATATATATATATATTAACTGTTGCAAAATTGGCTGCAACGAATTGTTTCCTATGATTTTTGCGGGCTTTTGCATTTTGTTGAACACTTTGTTTAATAATTTTTTTATAATTAGTTTTGAGTATTGAGTGTTTTGCAAACAAAGCGAAAATATTTTATTGTTGTCATGTAAAAACAAAACGAAAACCGAAAAAAAAAACAAACAAAAATAAAACAAAATACAAACTGAAACTGAAATACGTAATTGCTTTAGGTGATATTTTATAAAAATATAACACAAGTAAATATAATAATGAAAATAATGCAAACAAATATATACGTAAATATATATTTTAAAAATAATTGAGACGCTTTTTGCTTTTATTTTTAAAATATATACACACATGCATAAAATTTAGTTTTTTGTCTTCGTGCATACATTTTTATTATTATTGTTTTACGAAACAAATTTTATTTAGTTTTTAGCAAAATTGTAAAATGAGAAACATGATATGAAAACTTATGGTAATGATCTAGCAGAGAAGAAAACGCAATCAAAAACTAAAAACTAAAAACTAAAAACAAACAACATATAAAAACAAACAAGCAGCAACTTCTATACGATATACGAATACATTTTAATGTAATATTTTTAATTATTTATATGTATACTAATAATATAATTAAAAGAAAACAAAATCAACAAAAACAACATGAAAAAGAATTAAGAAACAACAACTACAGAGTAACGTTTAAAGAGTTAGCCAATAAATATATGAAAAAAAAGTATATTTGAAAAGTACACAGAACGTTTTTTTCACTTTCGAAATGAGGTTAGTTATTAAGACAACGCGTTTAGCTCGCATTAACTGAAGCCTACAAAGATGCTGGCCAACTCGCAGATGATCTACTGGAGCAAGCTATATGGAAATCCGTGGACCTCGCTTAATTTTCAATCAACTTTGACTTCGGTTGATGTTGTTTATTTCAGCTAGTTAAATCAATCATGCTCATGCATCCAACAGCCCTCTACATAGGCATGTTTATTCCAAAGCAAATCTTGTGTTGTATCACGGCCCAACTTTTGTTTTGTAAACTGCTCAAGAGAGTGTGCCCTGTGCTGTGGGCTACATGTGCATACTTGTCGTAAATTTAAGTGTAAATTCTAAGTGCTTAAAGTGTGTAAAAAAAAATCGCGAAATTTGTGACTTTCAACGCAGGACTCTCTCTCTCTCGCAGGAAACTCTTCTGCTATCAACGCCTGTAAATCGAGAGGCCCGCTCGTATTACGTGGCTGCATTATATTTATAAGCATTTGTGTTCATATGGAGCCCATTCCGTACACTAGCAGGGCCTCTGGCACGTGTAAGCCGCTTAGGGTAACGACGACGCCCCCGCCCCAGCTCAAGTGTCAACTGCAGTGCAGG